TCATTAGTCTCTTTTGTGTGCTTCCTGGTGTGGAATACCTTGTTGCTGTTTTAATTAAGTTTGGAAAGGATGACTAGCAGAGGATTCTTCTATACCCAAGCATTGATTTATAGCTTGCATTTGTAAGCACACTAATATAAAAATGAGTGTTTTTTCATATATATAAAGGCTGCCTTCTTTATAAGAGAGAGAAAAAGAGAGAAAAAGAGAGAAGGAGTCTTGTAGCACCTTGGTTTTAATGGAGAGTAGCTTACTGTTTCAAATGCACTGAGTGTAGCCTTAGAAGACGGACTTCTACGAGCAGATGTCTTCCTTGGCTACAGCCTGTGCAACAGAAGGGTTGCTACAGTCCAGTGAAGCTTATGCCAGTGAAGCAGTTAAAGGTGCTTCGTTGTCTTCGCGGCTGCTCTGAGTGTATAGTGACGTTGATTTTTGTCTTTCACAAGAGAGTTGCCCCGGGTGGGCGAATGGGTGGCGCTATTGCTGTGCCTCCTTTATGCACCTAGGTACTGTAAAGGTAAAGGTTGCCTTTGACATTTATGCACCTAGAAACGACCAAAGCTAGAAACAGACACTTAAAACATAACTGCCTCTTCCTAGCTAAGGCTAGGTGTGAATGTTTAGGTCAATGTTGAGGGAAAGTGGAGGCTTTGCTCATGTTCAGACCTGTACGCGCGAGCGTGAGTAGGAGGAGGAGCAGCAGCACCTTCTCCCCATAGCGACTCCTTGGAGGGCCGGAGCCGGAGCCATGGGCTTGCGCCCTCCCTCCCGCCTCGTGGGGCGTGGGGAATAGGCGGCGCAGGCGCCGGGCCCAGCGAGGCCTGGCCGGGGCGGAGACGCGCCCACGCTGCCGTCATGCCAGGCAGCAGCTCCGGGGCCGGGCTGAGGTGGCTCTTGCGGGCGGGACTGGAGGCGGCGGCGGGAGGCCGCAGCGGCCGAGCTAAGTTCTCCACGATGGTGAGAGGCTGAGCGAGAGGGAAGAAGGGAAAGGGCGCCCACACCACCACCACCTCCTCCTCCTTCTCCTCCTGCTCGGTTCTACCCTCTCCGTTAGGCAGCATGAGCCCGTCGCCTCCAGCACCTCGCCCACTCCTGCTGCTGGGCGAGGGAGGAGGCTGCCTTGTCTTCTCCCTTGTCGCGCTCTTGCCCTTCGGCACTAGCCCTGCGCTTTCCGCGCCCCTTGGACTCGCCTCGTCCTGCTGGGCCTCCTTCCCTTGTCCCTCCTTCGCTCCTCTTGACTTGCCCGCGCTGGCTTTAAAGGCGGGCAAGTGGGCTGAGGCTGGCGCTGCCAGGCAGGGAGCAGGCGAGACCGGGGGGGTGGGGGCACAGCCGTTCCCGGCTGCCTGAGAGGAGAGGAAAAGGAGAGAGCCGCGGTTGCCGCTGGGGTTGCTTTGCCTTCTTCCCTCCTTTGACCCCCCCCCCGCTCCCTCCCTGCCGGCCCGCTACTGCCACCAACCTGCCTATCCAGACATTGCTGAAAGCAGGACAGGTAGCTTTTGAGGAGCTGGCACCGCTTAGCAGAAGGTAGGGTGGCCTCAGCCGAGTGGGAGTGAAAGTGGACGGTGGTCTTCCGTTTCTGGGCCTCCCTGCCTGGGTCCCGTTCACAAAGCAGGCTCCTAACACATTCCCACTTGGATGGTAGGCTCACCTCTGGATTGTCCTAGTTCAAGACTGGGAATTTGGCATCCGTGGGATACAGTCATTCCATGTCCAGGAGGGGAACAATCTTGCATTTAGCAGAATAGTGGTTGTGGGGAGGGGGGAAGGGAAGCTGGAATCCACTTCCAAGTCAAGGCCAGCGTTTATAATAGATAGATAAATTCTGTGGATCTTGTAAAATGTGCAGGATGGACAAGTTGGGAGCATAACTTGATGGAACATAAGAACAACAATCTGAAGGCAGGATTTTATTCTTGAGTACCCCACCTGTCAACTGTGCAAGTTAGAGCAAGTGACAGACCAGTTCTGTTCCTTGCTTCCTTTCTGAAAAGGGAGAGAAGGAACTATCACAGTCACACAACTCTTTCTCTTTCCTGGTTTGGGAAAGGGAATTTATTGATGGCTTCCTCCTAGGAGAGCACCCTAGACTATATGAATGGCTAAAGTCACCCAGTAGTGTTTTCTTGCAGAAAACTGAAATGGGAAAGTTGACCTTTGCAATGCCATGTGTAAACAATGTCTGGACACTGAAATGTCAACATTGCACAGATTCCTGAAATAGCCATACTGCAGCCTGGCTGGATTAGAGATGGTAGGTAGCAGCTGTGATTATATTCTCCTTGGGACCTTCCCATAGGGATCTGTGGCCATTGGTGTGAACTGATGGGCCTTTGAGCTGATCCAGAATAGATCTTACTTTCATAATCAATACATTTATTTAAAGTCCCTCTGTGATAGCCAGACAATATGGTCATGCTGTAAGCACTGTAGGTGGGTGGAAATATGCATGCTACCCTTCTTCCTTCATGTTGATAGGAAAGGAAAGGTCTGAAGAGAAACTGTAACAGTTATCCGCTGAACACGGTTACAGTTGTCAATTGATTGTGAACTCTGTGCAACCAAGTCTCTTCATCCTATGGAGGACTTGGAATCCAGCTAAACAGGGTTATATATTTTATCTCCAGATTTCTCTGCAGCAAAAAGAGGTCACGGAGGGAGTCCAGAGGGGAGGATGTTTATGTTTCCCTTCCAATCTTCCATGCTTGCTCTTCTTGGTTCTGAAGAGGTTGCCTAGCACTCAGAAAATGATTTTAGAAAGGATGGACAGGTGGAAACTATTGATTTGAAATGAGTCCATTCAGGCAAGCTGCAGGAAAGCATGTGAATTTTCTCTGGGAAGTTGAAAGTCATGGTCAATCCCCCCCCCCATTTATCCCCAACATCTGTAGAAGAATTTATGTTTTTTAAAAATTGAATCATAGCATGCCTACTTTTCTCCTCTGATAGGAAATGGAAGTTTAAAATATTTTTGTTGTCTTTTCAACTTACACAAACAAAAGGAACTAGCTGTATTAAAATTAATCAAAATAGAAAAAGAAATACATTTATTAATAATTATATTATCAGTTATTTAATAACATTTGTCCACATAAATACTGATTTATTAATACACAGGGTAGAAATATACTTTGTCACTAATCTTCACAAAACTTTACTTTCATGTGCAATTAAGTTGACTAATAAATTATTCAATGCTTTCTTTAATCAATTCAGTTTTTTAAAGGGTTTAAAACAGATTTCAAAACAAATTGCAAATTTTAGTTGTGATCATTTAAAAATCCTTTTTTGTATCTGTATACTTTGAGGGAAAGCGAAATACAAATTTTTTGGGGGGGATATCCTCTTAGAAAAATCTTCTGGCTCTTGTATGTTAGTAGCTTATGAAACATGTTTTTTAAACAGTAGTTAAAATACTAAATACCACTATTTTATTCATTACATGCAGTAAAGGAAGTGTGACAGGAAGGATGATTATAAATATAATTGGGATATCAAAATTTCTCCATATAGAATTAGTGAATCTTGTTTGTTTCTCACAAGTAATTACTGTATTTAAAAAGAAATATGTAATACATATATGTATATTAACTGCTTGCTCATTGTAGTTGTTTTGCTTGTGTCAGATTATGCTTTTAAGGATTGTATTTATGCTTGTTATATTTATTTTAATGTTTATAAAAATTAATAAAGAGAAATCGGTTCATGTTTTCTTTTTCTTGAGTATTTTGTTTTGAAACATAGTGCCATCTGGTGGTTAGGACTGAGACTTCAGGTAAAAATGTCCTCTTCACATGTATTTGACTACTGTACAGTAGTACCTCGGTTTTTGAAATTAATGTGTTCTACAAGACATTATGTAAAGCAAAAAAATTTGTAAACCACAACACGGATTGCCATAGCAACGGGGGAGGTGCTACAAACCTCCAGACACAATGCATCTTGGGGAAACTTTCTTTGTAAATGCAAACAAACAAACAAAAAAGTAAACCAAGGCATTATTTTCAATGGATTTCTGTGTGTATACCAAAAATTATGTTAACTGACACATTCATAAACCGAGGTGAAAAAAATTTGTAAACCGCAACATGGATTGCCATAGCAATGGGGGAGGTGCTATAAACCTCCAGACACAATGCGTCTTGGGGAAACTTTCTTTGTAAATGCAAACAAACAAACAAAAAAGTAAACCAAGGCATTATTTTCAATGGATTTCTGTGTGTATACCAAAAATTATGTTAACTGACACATTCATAAACCGAGGTACTACTGTATATGGTTCAAACTTCACAAGCTGGTTATTGAAATGATTGAGATTTCAGGTGCCATTAAAACAACGTTTTGCTTTCAATTAAATATAGTACATCTAGATTTGAATGGCTAGGGAAAATGACCAATGGAAAGTTTTTAAATTTTAAATAAATTGGTCAAGGAGAGGAGAGTGGAATTATCAATACATAGTTCGAGGAGAGAAAGGTGAGTGGTGTATAATGAAAGTATAAACAGAAATGAGAATGTATTATGGGTTTTACTAATTTTAAACTAACCCTGAGTGCTCACTGGAAGGACGGGGGGAGGATGGAATTATCAATACATAGTTTAAAGAGAGGAAGGTGAGTGGTGTATAATGAAAGTATAAGCAGAAATGAGAAAATATTATGGGTTTTACTAATTTTAAACTCCATGTGACATAAACGAAGTGTCTGATTAGAACATTATTAATTCTTGATTAGATTTTATATTCTGGTTTGGTTTTACCATTTTTTAAAAAGAATGTAATTTTTATTGTATGAATGTACAACATTTAAACATTTGTTTTAAACTCCATGTGGCATAGACGAAGTGTCTGATTAGAACATTATTAAAATTTCTTGATTAGATTTTATATTCTGGTTTGGTTTTACCATTTTTTTCAAGAATATAATTTTTATTGTATGAATGTACAACATTTAAACATTTGTTGTTTGATTATTGGCTCATTTGTTCGTTTCGTTTAGTCATTTAGTTGTGTCTGACTCTTCGTGACCCCATGGACCAGAGCACGCCAGGCCCTCCTGTCTTCCACTGCCTCCTGTAGTTGTGTCAGATTCATGTTGGTTGCTTCGCAGACACTGTCCAGCCATCTCATCCTCTGTCGTCCCCTTCTCCTCTTGCTGTCACACTTTCCTAACATCAAGGTCTTTTCCAAGGAGT